AAAAATCATACAATGTGATTTCCTGAAATGTTTTTTTAATTCTGTCTCTCAGAGTGGGAATGCACCTACAATGTGAATTTCAGACCCCTCCATGATTTCTAAGTGGGAGAACTTGCAAAATTGCAGGGTGTTCAAATACTTCTGTTCCTCACTGTATAGGAGGAAGAATGTGTCACTTCTTTCAAAAGTTACAGTCTCACTTTAATGCTGTTAGTTTCAGTATCATAAAAAATCTTTTCTTTTCAGTTGTGAACCTCAGGTGTTTTTGTGTCTGATTGTGTCATAGTTAACCCTCTTATTATTTCCTCCAGGGCATTTTCCACTTCCAGCTTGGACGAGGAGAGCCTATGCTCCACACACGACTACGCCCTCATTGCAAAGAATTCCTAGAGAAAATTGCCAAACTCTATGAGCTACATGTGTTCACATTTGGGAGTCGCCTTTATGCACACACCATTGCTGGTAATTAGCTTGTTGTTTTACATTTTACAGCGCTTTTTCTCCCACATTATAGGTGCCGAGTACATGAGTTAACATAGATGTATTGATATCAAAATGTAGCAAGGTGTAAAATATTTACATGTAAACTTTCTTTGTGTCCACAAGAGGGAAGTGCCTGTTCATGTTTTGCATTCCAGCAGATGTTATGTTGGTTTGCTGTTGTTCAGCTTCTCTGTCTGTGCCATTTGCAAGCAACAGGGGCGCTAAAATTTAAGCTGGTTATAAGCCAGTTAATGTTTTGCGTTCTTTTATTTCTGTCCTAGTTTTATGTGCATTTAGTTGCTAGCTGAATGGCATTGGCTTCCTCCTAAATAAAAAATCTTTCAGTTTATAATTCAAGGCTGGATTATATTGAAGTGTAGGCAGCCTTTTATTGGCTGTCTTTCTGGTATTCATGCTGCAGTATTTCATCATACTGTGTATATATTAGAGGCAGCCCTGGTCCAGTACTGTTCTGCCTCCATATGATGAATGTTTAATGCATTTAGAATTGGATTTTACTACTGGCCCTGATGCGGGGAGGTCGCTATGTTTCTGAGCAGTGCTTCGGCTATTGACAGCTTCTGTTGTGGTTGTAGAGTCCTCTGCTCTGGCTGTCGTGTTCAGCCAGGGTAGCTCTGCATTTCTGTTCAAGGTTTGACCAAAGACTTTGCATTTCTTTTCAGACATTAGATAGTGAAAACATCCTGCAACAGAGAAAATGCCATAGTTTTATTAATGTGTCCTAGATAAGGTCTAGTATATTGTACTATGTAAGTTTTCAGTACATGTTAAAACTCCACTTTGGCCTGTTGTGTTTCTTTAAATTTAATAATTTAATGTACATTTGCTATTAAATTGCTTGTAGCTTGCTCTGTGGTGGTGGTGCTCTGTGGTGGCACTACACTACACTCTAGACTTTATTTCACTCTGCCTTTTGTTTTAAAGCACAGGAGACTGTTTGTTTGGTTTTTGTGCAGATAAAACCTACTGTATCTCATATGTGGTTTTCTTAGTTGGGTTATGAAGCAATTGGTCGATTTGATCGTATGATCCACAGTGTCTATTGGCAGCACTCAATTAATCCAAATAATTTCTTAGCTTCAGTAGTTTTTTTTTTTTTTAGTTTTTTTGGACTATCTGTTTATATTGTCAGTGACTGCTGATAGATGAGCACAAAGATTAGAGAGCTGTTATTCTCTCTGTCAGTTATGACTGACAGTAGCAGCTCCTTACAAATTTGAAATTGATGTCAGAAATGCTCCATATTTTAATTCATAACATCACATACTATATATCACCAAAACAATACTACAGCTGGAGAGTGAAATAATCTATGAAAAAGAGGTCAGCACTTTTGGTAATGCCTTGTGCATCATTTTCCTGACAGGAACCTTTTCCCTTGTGGGGATTCAATGGTGTGCATAATCGATGACCGAGAGGATGTGTGGAAATTTGCACCTAACCTCATCACTGTGAAGAAATATATCTACTTCCAGGGCACAGGGGACATCAATGCGCCACCTGGATCACGTGAAGCTCAGATGGCCAGGAAAGGTAAAGACCGCACTGCTTGCATACATTTGGTAATATGATGCATTCAAAGTATGAACCTGTAACAGCAAAGTAGCAGACAGTTTTATGCAACACAGACGGTCATATGTAGAACCAAAGATGTACTGTCCAAGGATTTGTTCACAGTTCAGCAAGTCTGTCTAGTGGATTCACTGATCCTGGACTCTTATAGAGCTTAATGTTAAATTGTACACAGTCCATTATGTGGTTAGAAATACAGGAAAAGTTTATTCTACTAGGTCTTACTGACACTCAACTCTGACCCCAAGTGTGTTGCAAAGGGATGACTGTGCAAGCTGTTTTTTGTTCTGATTGGCTGGCAGGAGAGGGTTAATTTTAATATCTGAACAGTATAAGCAGACACCAGTGGCACAGGTCTTTTTTGCCTTTCTAGATTAATGTGCCAGTGTGAACTCATGCTATGAACAACAGGCTTAGAAAAAAAAGCTTGGAGGTAGGGTTATTTGGCAACCAATAACATACAATAAATTAAACAAATCTACTTTTAATATGTCTAATATTTGCATAAATTTAGATGTCTGAATAAATGAACTGCAGGATGAATAAAACAAAGGTTTTTGACTTTAGCTGGATTAGCTTTGATATACTCACCTCGTTATCGTGTTATTTCCAGGCACCAGTAAAAGCAAGGGAAAACGGGCACTTTCTTTTTAAAGGCAAAGCTATAGTTGCATGAAATATTAAATTATTTTTTTTAATTAATTACAATTCAAATATTTGAAAGTAATTGCCCGTCCCTATTAGTTAATGTATCCAGTTATAGTCTTGACTTATCTAATCTTTTACTGCTTTTTGTTAGCTTCTGGACTCGGTATGTAAGCTCATCAGCTGTGCAAGATGATGCCTGCAGACTATTGGCCTTAACCAAGTTTTCAGTTAGGTTTTCCATTTTATTTTTCAGGCTGGTGAAATCTGATGTAAATTGGCCTGATTGACACCAGATTCTTTTAATCTGTAAATGATCCTAGAGTAACCTCACTTATTAACAGATGCTGTCCCCCCTACCAGAGGTGACAGGATTCTGATGCGTGTGTCCTTGAATACTACTGTATGTGACTTCCATGTCTTATCTAGCAGGAGCTCCCTCTGTAGAGAGCGCAGAATCAGCAGGGACACTTTGTGCAGAAGAGCAAAATAATGGCCTAAGGAAAAGGGCGAAGGACCACAATGTTTCCAGAAAAGATGAGTCCACAAAATCTCAGTCTTCTCAGGGAGTACCAGCAAATGAACTAACTCATCCTACAGAGCTTGAAGATGAACAAGAACAAAGTAAGGGGTCAGAGACTGGGGTGGAATCTGGGGTGGGGTTCAGAGAGACTCAGGAGGATGACAAAATAAATGTAAAGGAAGCTGATAGCAGCAGGACACAAGAGGTACAGGAAGGTGCAAACTCCTCTGCACCAAGCCACGAGTCCAATAACCTAGACTTTGACCTTTCCAGCGACAGTGACAATGACTCCATTACAGAAAAGCCTCCCTCGTCAGAGAGTGAGAGTGAAGGCAAGTCAAGCCAGACAAAGAAATCTGGGCAGGAAGGAGTCACACGAGAGCCCAGTGATGGGGATGGGGCAAGGGAAGAGGACAGTAAAGGTCAGAGTGAAAGAGAGAACAGCTCTGATGTAGCTGAACCTTCAGGGGTTCTTCTCCCAGACCCCGAGCTGGGAAACGGCTGCTCAGACAGGAGAGAGCCAGAAACGGAGTCCCAGAATAGTGAACAATCTGGGGTTACCATGGGGGAGGAGCTGCTAGACCAGAGTATGGAGGATGAGGAGGAGGAAGCCGATAACGATCAGGATGATCATTTGATCTATTTGGAGGAGGTTCTGGAAAGAATCCATGCGGAGTACTATGCCCACTATGAGGCCTACCTGATAAAGGAGGCCTCTGAAATGCCGGACATTCGCAAAATTGTCCCAGAGCTGAAAAGCAAAACACTGGAGGACACAACAATAGTGTTCAGTGGTCTGTACCCAACCAACTACCCCATGGAGAGGACCAGGGAGTACTACCATGCCAAGACACTGGGGGCCAAGATGGGCAAAAATCTGGTTCTTAACTCCCAAGATCCCAGTCGGACAACGCATCTCATCGCGGCAAGAGCTGGTATGTAGAAATGTATTTATGCTACTGATCAAACTTACTGTAGGAGAAGCATGTCAATGTACTTCTTACTAAACAAAACATCTAATCTAATAATATCTATATGCAAGGGCTGTAAGTCAAATTTGGTGACTGACAGTGATTTTAAGAAGTTTAGTTCTTTTTCTGACTCACATACTTTTGTTTTGTTGAATATGCAGTAGATGAGGTAGTGTTTAGTAGCTGCGTGCTGGAACCATTTGTGTTTGTAAGCAGTGACTAATAGGTCTCGCTTAAATGTCAGCCTTACAGGTCCGATGACACTATTTAGCAAATTGCACAGGGAAAACATATCGGTGAGAAGTTATAAATAAGAGGAATCATTCGCAGTGCAGGCTGGGACACATCAAATGCACAGTAACAATGTGCACTGTGGTTAACCAAAGGTAGAAGCTCACACTTGTTGGTAAACTCGGCTATAACCATGTCTCAGAAGAAAAAACTGCCTATAAGAGCATTGTTTCAACAGAAATACAAGTGTGCTGCCTGTCTCATTGTTCCAACAAATCCATATAGTAGTATTATATATCATCAATTTAAATAGGTTGCAATCTGTTTCTTGCATCATATGCAGCATTTATTGATTTTTAAATGCTCAGAAATATCTTCCTGTCACTTGATTATCGATGTTAATGTGGTCGAAATCATCAGTGAAATTGATGGTGTGATGTGAGATGACTGGGTCAGAGCATCTCCCACCCTGCAGGTCTTGGTGGGTGTTGTTGGTCTGCAGTGGTTAGTACCTACCAACAGTGTCTAAGGAAGGACAGATGGTGAACTGGAGACAGGGTCATGGACGCCCATGGCTCACTGATGATGAGGTTGACCTACTGTAGATTAAACTTTTAACTTCTATTTGTACTTTTCAAAAGATTAAAATTTGGTTGGAAATGAGAAATACTGTCCATTGGTCTCTATGAAGAGAAAGAGTCAGGGGCTGTAGTGGTGATATCACACCTAGAGTGGTGAGGCTGTTGGATTGGTCTAAGAAATTCTCTCTAACTCGTCCTCACGACCACAGTTTTCACTCCTTTTACATAAGCTTTTCACCGAATTATAGACACGTCTGCTATTCCTGACTGTGGAAGCAAATGGATGCACAGTGAGCTGCAGAGTGACACGAGTGCCGACCAACCGCTACATTGACTCCTATGTGAACAGTATTAGGCAGGTGGTCATAATGTTATGGCTGATCGAGGGGGAGCCCCGTGAACACTTGCTCCGAGGTCATTGGCCTTGCATATATATATATATAAGCTTATGACCTTGCGTCCATTTTTAAAGTTTTGAATTGAACTGATGGAAATGTATTGCATTATGCGGGATGGTGCACCTGCAAATGGTTATGAAGATCCATCTTCTGTCATCTGTTACATTGCGTTTTACAAAATAACTTTGATTAGCTTTTTTTTTTTTTACCCAAAGTCCCAGATGGGCAGAGAGATATTTTTAGCTGCAGCACAGTCTCACCCCCGAGCTGGTTTTTTGGATGTTCAGTCTGACAAAACAAGACATTTATAAAGACATAAATGTGCAGTTTGGGAAGTTGTAAAAGGATTTAAATTTTTTTTTTATAAGACCAGAGGTTAAATTAATTATTCAAAAAATTCTGAGCAGATTGGTTTATATAAAAACAAAATAACTAGTTGCAGCCCTGACTATTGCAGAAAATAACGCAGATTAAACTGTTCATGTGTCACAGTGGATGTGAATACATGTAAAGCAGGGATATTTTCTCACCATGTGCCTGCACAACCAACCTCTGTGAGTTTTACTTGTTAGCTTTTTGAAGTTCTCCTGTGCGCTAGTTTCCAAAAATCAATGAATGCAACTTTACATGATAATGCTTAAAATGGATTCCTGTCTAGTTCCTAGAAAGAGCTCATTATCTGTAATTAGGCCTACTGGACTGACAGAGTTCACTTTTCACTGTGCCTTAGAGAGCCTAGTAACACTGGAGATTATGTTTTATTTATTTTTTGCAAATGGTAAGAACCACAAATTAAACAGCTGGTGAAAAAATAGATTACTGTATATAATCTAAGCCCTCCAAAGGGAGGTATTATACCTCATCATAGTGTTGAAGAAGGAGCTGAGCCGAAAGGCAAAGCTCTCAATTTACCAGTCAGTCTATGCTCCAACTCTCATCTATGCTAACGAGCTGTGGGTAGTGATCAAAAGAATAAGATCATGAATACAATAATAAGTTTCCTTAGCAGGAGGGCCAGACTTGGTCTTAGAGATAGGGTGCAGAGCTTGGATATCCGGAAGGGGCTCGGAGTAGAACATCTGCTCCTTCACATCGAAAGGAGCCAGTTGAGGCCGTTTGGACATCTTATTAGGGTGCCTCCCTTTGGACGTCTTCTGGCCACGTCCAACTAGTAGGAGACCCCAGGGTAGACCCAGAACACGCTGGAGAGATTATGTATCTCATCTGGCCTGGGAACACCTCAAAATCCTGCCAGAGGAGCTGGAACACGTTGCGGGGGAGAGGGACATCTGTACTACCTTACAGAATCTGCTGCCACCGTGACCTGACCCCAGATCAGCCGAAGATAATGGATGAATAATGCTCAGGCTGAAAATAATGTCCTGTTTTGCTTTGAATGTTGATTAGTTTAGTTGTTTATGAAGCCCTCTTTAAATTACTGTCATCAGCTGTCTGTTCTGTCTGCAGAAAGAATGTTTGTAACATGCTCATACATTTTCTGAATTCTACAGAGGACTCTCTTCCATGACACTGAAATTGTCAAAGCAGCTTCTGCCCTGTTCAGAAATGATTCTACCTATTTGAAGTGAGGAGCACAAAAAAGTGGATTCATGCCTGTATTGCTGCCAATATAGTTTACTTTTTGAAAACAAGCACAGGAAGGGCACTGTTGCCTTGGGAGCCAGACCCGCTGAGAGCAGCACTTGGCAATCACTCACCTTTTATATATGGAGGAGAGAAAAATCCGCCAGAGATGGAATCGGGGCAATTTGAGCACTAGGTCAGTTAGACCAGAAAGAACTGCAGAAATTGGCTGCTACAGGGAATTTGACAGACGTAGATCATGTGCATCTCACAAGGGTTAATTGATTGTTTTACTATAGCTTTTAACAACCGGTACCTTAACATCTCAATTATTCAACCATTTCATCTCTCTGACACAATGGAATATTACTCAAGAGCAGTCACTACACGTTTGCCGTGGCATCACAATGATAGAGTTAATTTGGATACATAATGCCACACATTTACTAAGTTAGGATCATCCTTTAATGGCATCCGTTTTTGGACCATCTGATAAATGACAACGCCACAACTTTATTGCAGAGTTCCCTGGTTGTCATGGCTTGGTTTTTGTCCTGACATGCAGTTTGAACTGCCAGACCTTATATACACTGGTGGCTGTCTTTGTAAACTACTATTATGTCCAGTCAACTCAATTTACCTAGGCTTAACTCTAGTTAAGTTTTAGACACATAAAGATTATACACCTGAGCACAAAACAAAGGGGCCAGATGCTTTTGTAAGTGAGAGATTTAAGTTTCAGATGTGCTTTGCTTTGTCATTCTGGGGTATTGAGTGGACACTAATGCACAAGTCTACAACACAATGAAAAATACTTTCTGATGTAACTGTATTGAATTGACAGAAAGTAAAAGGACAGTGGCTCCAAAAGACAAATTTTCCTTGTTATAGTTCTAATTATATTGACACACAATTATTTTATCTTTTCTGTTCCAGCAAAGAAAGTCTGAGCACTGATCTGAATTATTGAGCAGACTGCATTTATTTGTTAAAAGCTTTTGATTGTAAGGTCAAAACCTTGTCCCATTTTCACCTTTTCCTTCTTTCATCCCTGTCCCCCAGGGACCGAGAAGGTTTGTCAGGCACAGGACTGCAAGCACCTCCATGTTGTCAACCCTGACTGGCTGTGGAGCTGTCTGGAGCGCTGGGAGAGGGTGGATGAGCAGTTGTACCCACTGAAGGACGACTACTCTAAGATGCCACGGTAAAGCCACCTCAAATAATGTGAAATATGCTACACATATGCTGACATTTCAACTGCAAAACAGTACATCAAAATCTTTCTTGAGGATAATTCCAACTGATATTTGTTTCTTGACTGAAGGAGCAACAGTCCAGCAGCTTTCCCTGACAATCTGGACTCCCCGCAGAAGTCAGTTTTCCAGCCAGCTCCCATCCAACACAGACCTCCACCTCTAGCCCATGAGGTTCAGACCTACGACCCCATCACAGGGAAGTTGATCCGCAGGGGCCCTCAGATGTCACGGCCACCATCCTACCTCCAACCATCAGGGTCTCTGTTGCTTTCTGATCAGAGAGAGCAGTCTTGTCTCAGGTACTATAACAGATGAGTCCAATTTGTGTAAGACAATACTGATGTGATAAACACTGCTGTGGTCTAAAGTTTGGAGAAGCGAGCTTGTGAATGGAAGATCGTGGATTCAGTCCCTGGATCAGCAGGATCAAATCTGGGTGGAATATGTGGATGGTTATGTTGTTCAGTTTCACCTTGTCTAGCCCTTAAATATATGGATTTGTGGTTGTCCTTGTACTTTGCTACTCTACTGTATGAATTCCCCCTAGTGCAGACATGCAGTCGCTTCAGCTACTAAGGTGTAAAAAAACCTCAACAAAGCTTTTATGGATGTATGGATTGTTTATATATATATATATATGTGTGTGTGTGTGACAGGGGAATGTGTAGGTCATAGTCAATCCTTTGAGCTTCTGTTGTACATCTGTTTTTCTGCATATTGAGTTTTAAATAAAATCACAATAAAAATGAGACCACTTTATACTACTCAGGGGACAGCCCTCTTCTCTCTTTTATATTCACCCAGTCATATAAACATTTGATTTTCCAGTCATGTTCTCATTTATTTCCCCTGCATGCGTAATTGTTTGTCATTTGCATACCACAATGAGACTGTATCCTGGCAGCTTTTCTCTAGAGAAATATAAACTCTAACATTTACTGGACAACTAGGCAGGATTAATATGTTTTGATGTGAATTAATATATCTGTGATTATACTGTGTAATTAATAATCACAAGTACGAAATCGGCTCACTTTATTTGGAGATTAGAGGCAGGGCAGTGTTTCAGTGAGTTGCATAAACTTGGATTTCATTATTAAAGGTTCTCTTCATTTCTGCTCTGCCAAGAGGAAATATAGAAACTTTATCTTCCCACTTGCATAAGATTTACATGTAAAGAGCCCTCATTATAGTTGGAAAGGCTTTGCAATTTCACCCTTTGCATCCTCAAATCGCCTGTGTTGTAAAAAAAAAAGTGCTTATTATGTACAGTGTTTCTATGAGTGTAATTCTCTGCAGTTTTTGTGAAGATTACTGTAAAGTAGCACACAAGATAACAGGAATAACCATAAGTAATATAGCATATTTTTAAGAAAATGTAAATGTTCATTTTCAGTGATAAGAGCATTTCTCTACTAACTGAGTTGATAGATTTTAATATAGGTAGATGTAGTAGATTTTGCCCTGGGTCACAGTAAAAACCTGATATCTGTACTTTGGTATGTATTTGGCTGACTAGGTAACTACAGTAGTCCATGCATTTAGTTACACTAAAGCAATTTACATTCATAAAGTTTTGTGTGTGTTTATTTTCCTTTTGAACCTCAGGGGAAGTTCCAAAAGTCAGCAAGATGACGCAGCAGTGTGCAGCCAAGACAACGAGCAGCCCGGGCCGTCTCGTCGGGAAAGACAGCCAAGCATGTCGGAAACTATGCCACTATACACACTTTGCAAGGAAGATCTGGAGAGCATGGACAAAGAGGTATGGAAGGAGGAAACGCTGCTGCTGGTTTATCCCCCTATTGTTTTGCATACACAAAAAAGAAAGGTCACAAAGTGGGGGAGTCACTGTCCAGAAAGGATACTTTGAGGCTGTTATATGTAGGAGCTTTTTAAATGTATTAGCTTCTTGTAGTTTGCACACAGACTGCATGGTGGTTTGAAGGAACCTGGTAAAGACGGGCCAAAATGAAAGACTGTTCATACAGAAATCACAGTAGTTTGAGTACTCGTATTATAGCTGTTACTATGTGGTTTTTCCAGGTTTAATTTCCATTACAGCGTCACAACAGGGCATGACTATATTTATCCAAAACAAAAATGAACAAAACTAACAATGAAAACAATAAAATCAATTTTGAATAAACCAAACAGGATTAAAATCAGGATGACATTTTTTTAGAGCTGAAAAAGTTGGATTATCCCAAGTTCAACAATAGATTGAAAATATTTTTAAAAACCCCAGAGGTTTGCTGTTTTATGGGAGGGTATTCTATACTTTAGGGCCAAAGCAGATTTCTTACAGGAAACATTAAGAACTTCCAAAACAAAAGCAGTGGAAGATCAGAGGGATCCTTTGGAATGGTCTTAAATGGTCTTATACTTGTATAGCGCCTTTCTACACTTTTACAGCACACTCAAAGCGCTTTCACATTATTCAGCCATTCACACTCCCAAGCACTCATGCATTCACACACCGGTGACATCACCGGGAGCAACCGGGGGTTCAGTGTCTTGCTCAAGAACACCTCGACATGTTGACTGGACAAGCCGGGAATCGAACCGCTAATCCTCCGGTTAGGAAATGACCCGCTCTACCTCCTGAGCCACAGCTGCCCCCAATGAATGAATGAATGAAAGGTAGTCGCTGATATATGGAGATGCAAGGTTATGTAAAGATTTATGAAGAAGTAAAAAGACAAAACAAATTTTTTTTTAGACTTTTTAGGTAGTCTGGTGACAGCACAGTTGTAGTAGTGCAAGTGTCTTATAATAAAAGCATGTAGGACCATTTTTGCATAGTTTACTTAGTCTACTTTTGGAAGCAGACTGTTTTCTGCTCTTTTAGTTTTTAAAAACGTTTTACTCATCCACATATTGACATCAGTGAGAGCAGTAATAAGAGCACTCAAAGAAATGGGGTTGCCTGGTGAAGCACAGCTGTGCATCATCAGTGTAACAGTGATATTTCATTTGATATTTGTGCTGAATATATAAATAAAAAAACAACCGAGCCTACAGTGTTCCTTGGGAGGTACCATAATCAATATAAAATGCCACCTGATGATGTGTTGGCCAAGGTTACTAGTCAGTTGTTATACAGGAGTATTTACTTTTAAGGTTAATGCTTGTGTGGTCTGTTGAGATGTTCTACTGAGGTTTTTTTGTGGTCTCGAATTGTATTGTGTGTTTATGATTTAGGATTTGTGTCTGTGTGCAGTTTGCCATGCGGTCCGATTTTGGAAGTTTTTAATACAACTTCTACACAAGTTAATAGCACTTGGTTGGACAGATTGAATTTCCCCACATTGCCATGTATGAATGAGATGGCATATGGGTTTGAATTCAGATGTCAGTTTAATGCAGTTTATCATCCAGCTGTGGCAGGTGGGATTTGTCAAGTATTAATGAGTGACAGAGTGAATGTTCATTTAGCCAGAAAGCAGTGAAAATATCAGAGCAACATAATGCATCTTTCTTACAGTTTGTACCTGCTTACACACTGAAGCCAGTCTGCTTTCTCCAGTTTATATTTTTTGCCATCCTTGCAAGGCATGCAAAGTGATTATTAATGTCAGAGAGCTCTGCACCTCCTGCTTGGATAATACTCTTTAATGGAGGCTGATTTCTGCTAATGTGTCAGTGGTGGAAAATGTGCAGAGTGGATGCTTGAGATCTGCCAAGAGCCTCTCAGTAGGTGATTATTCTGAACATAGGGCTTTGTGGCATATTCACGTGGACATGACATGTGACAAGCCATTAGGTCACACATGTTGGCTAGTGGTCATTATTTTGTTCTTTTTTTTATAAAGGGGAATCAGTCGCTGCAAGGGCTACCACTCAAAAACCATTTTCCCTCCAAAAATGACCTCAAAAGGTTAATAATATGCTAAAATCTGTGCTAGAAAATATATGTTAAATATTGTACATGATTTGAGTCTGATGTAGTATTATTTATGGCCATGTTAAAGCTGCACTAAGGATTATTTTTACATCAACAATCAATGAAATGACAGTGTAAAATATAAAAGTGGTCACTCCCTTTTAACAAACCCACAAAAAATTCCCATCCAACCCTGCAATTTCTCGCAGCTCCGTGGTGTGTTATAGCTTGTTTTGGCTCATTGTTTTGGTTTTACTGCCCCCTACTTTACTGTTTTAGTTCACTCCCACAGCTCTCATCAACTTTGTTTCTGGGTGCAACAGGGTGGGATGATGTGTTAATACAGCATATAGCCAGTTGTTTAGAAAGATAAGTAATCGTTTTTACTTTTTTGAAGTTAAATCTATTTCTATACCAGGTAGTTCAGGATGAATACATGAATGAATACAGCATTTGGTATTAATATTTATTGATGGTGCTAATGTGCTGTAAACTGTAAAGTCTAAAATTCTGTAAGGAGGCAAAAGTAGAAACAAAAACCTTTTGTAATGTTTTTGAGGTAGGAATCACATTTGTATTAAGGATCCACACAATTAATTTAGTTGGAAAACACTAATTCTAAAGAAAAACAATGAAATTTGCAGAGGCTACACTGAACATTCTTGTTCTTTAGACAACATAGCTTTGTAGCTTTCTGTCCTTAAACCTCTAGCTCCAACAGAACTTGGATATCCCCCCAAGCAAATGAGCCTTTTTAAACTTTAAGTTAATTGAATGATCTGGATGTCAGTGTGATTGGTCATGCTAAATGATGAACTGACTCTTGTTACTGGGATGTAAAACAGTCTACTCGGTTTTTAATTAAATTGAATTCTGAAGTTAAGTAACTTTGTAGCTGCAGGTAATGGCTCAGTCTGAGAACTGCTGACCAACACAGAAAAGGAAAGAAAAAGAGCTAGGATGCGGAAGTATAAGCTATAAACAAAGCAAAGCTAGGATGCGAAATTATAAGCTATAAACAAAGCACCTCTCGTTCAACACAGCTGCTGTTTATAGCTGCTTTTAATCAAGAATAGAACTGATAAGATGTTGCAAATGACATTGGCGTTCTCTGCCCTTGGTCTTTTGGTTGTGCAAGAAGAAAGGAGGTTGTGGAGGTGAAAAACCAGGACAAATCACACTAAATGGGTGAAATCATGGATACCACACTGACAGGCTGAAGGGACTTTCCTGAACTGTTGTCTTCTTGTGCATTGAATTGCTAAGCTCAACAGCCAATCGGAGTGGTCTCTCTCGCCAACGAGGCTGGTTCAATATGTCAAATCTGCCGAAAAGCTGCCAACAGAGGCCGACTAGTGCCAATGGTGCAGGGCACACTGGGAAGACGAGCCCTGACAGATGCTCACCGATGGCCTGACATCTGTGCCCTGTGTGTTTCTTCCCTAAAAGTTCAGTCCCACAGTGCTGACCAGGAGCCGGCTACCAACTCGAAACCATGTTTCCAGATTTCGGACAGCTCTGGTTTTCAGCATTAGCTCTGCTAATATCAGTAGCCACAATTCTACCATAATTTTCACCATAATAATTGCTAAACCAAAAACTAAGCAACAACAATATTTGCCATGCCTAATTTGGGCTAGTTTTGGTTGATAAGCTATGAATGGACAATGACATGAATGGAAAGGAGTTAGGCCTATAGGCAGTTAGTGTTATTAAGAATATCTTTTTTTTTTAAGTATAATTTTTAAAATTTGTTTTTTAGAGCCGTCCCTGGTAGGCTAGTGGTTAAGGTGCAGCGCTCTTGCAGCTGTGGCCCGGGCTCGAGTCAGGGTTGCATCAGGAAAGGCATCCGGCGTAAAACACGTGCCAAATGTCAACATGCGAGTCGTCAGTGTGACAATTTGCTGTGGTGACCCCTAAACGGGAAAAGCCGAAAGTGACTTTCTTTAGTTTTTAAGAATTTTACAAACCTCTTTTCCTGAAAAGTTGGGACATTTTTCAGAATGCAATAAAAACTAAAATCTGTGAGTTGTTAATTTACTTTAAGCTTTATTTAACTGACAAAAGTACAAAGAAAAGGTTTTCAGTGTTTTCACTGACCAACTTAATTGCAAGTATATGCACATTTAGAATTTGTTGCCTGCAGGACACTCACAAGTTTGGAAAAAGGCATGATTACCACTGAGTTACATCAGTGTTCCTTTTAATTACACTTTTTAATTGTTTGGGAACTGAGGATACTAGTTGTTGCAGTTTTGTAAGTGGAATATTAGCCCATCCATGTTGGATGCAAGCCTTCAGCTGCTCAACAGTCGGTGGTTGCCATTGTCTGATTCTCGTTATGATGCGCCATACATTTTCAATAGTAGACAGATGGACTGCAGGCAGGCCAGTCAAGCGCAAGCACTCTGTGTCTACAAAGCCACACTGTTGTAGCATGTGCAGAATGAGGCCTGGTGTTATCTTGCTGAAATATCCGTGGACATCCCTGGAAAAGATGCTGCCTTCATGGTGACATACTGTATGTCTCTAAAATCCGCATCAATGGTACCTTCACACATAAGCAAGTCATCTGTGTTCTGGGCACTGATGCACCCCCAATCCATCACAGATGATAACAGTCTGGATGGTCTTTCTCATCTTTGGCACGGAGAACTTGACGTGCATTTTTCCAGAAAGCAAACTGTAACATGGACAACATTTTTCCAAAGTACTCCTGAGCCCATGTGGCTATAGTCATCACAGTAATATGACGGTTTCTCATGCTGTGCCTGCTGAGGGCTCGAAGGTCCCATATATTCAGCAGTGGTTTTTGCCTTTGTTCTTTACGCACATCACCTGTTACCAATTAACCTGGTAATTCTGGCATCTTCCAGAAT